CCGTACCCAGAGCAATGTAAACTACATTGCTCTGGGTACATTTTGTTGCACATTACAGATGACACATCCACTAGAGGGTGCTGTCTACATTTTTACTAAGGGTGTGTTTTTTGTATGTTTCAGATACACGTCCATCTTGTAAACACCTTTAAAAGGCAGTGCTTGTCGTGCAGATCAGCTAGCGATCCACAAAACCCTTCCCTTAACCCAACCAATAGTGTTTTCAGAAGCAGACGTAAGATAAAAGCCCACTGCGACCAAATAGTTTTACCATGATTTAACACAATTTTTATCTCTTTCATGGAACGCCACATGCTGGAAAAATGTGTGTGGTTCTGGTATTCAACACATTGTGGGGACCAAATGTGTACTCAAGTTTAACACTACCTGTATTTTTTTACCTTGTAGGGGCAAGGTTACAGTTTAAAGGTGGCTTCAAAGAGCTCTGAATGATCCTGGCTGAGGAATAAGAGTTTAAACTAGCAAAACTATCTGTCAATTTATATATATATACATATATATATATATATATATATATATATATATATATATATATATATATATATATATATATATATATATATATATATATATATATATATATATATATATATATATATATTAGTCCAAGCTGAGTGGAAATAGGTGCCTCATCTACATTGAAATGTAAAATGCATTGCTCTGGGTACATTTTGTTGCACATTTCAGATGACACATCCACTAGAGGGCGCTGTCTAAGCTTTTGTCAATCTGAAATAAATTACTAAGGGTGTGTTTTGTTGTACATTTCAGATACACATCTATCTTTTAAACACAAAGGTGTGCTTGTCATGCAGATCAGCTAGCAAACTACTAAACCCTTTTCTAAACCCAACCAATAGTGTTTTCAGAAGCAGACGTAAGAGAAAAGCCCACTGTGACCAAATAGTTTTACCCTGAATTTACACTGCTTTTATCCCTTTTATGGAACGCCACATGCTGGAAATGTGTGTGTGAGTGTGTGATTCTGGTTTTCAACACATTGTAGGGACCAAATTGTCCTCAAGTTTAACAATACCTGTATTTTTTTTTTACCTTGTAGGGGCAAGGTTACAGTTTAAAAGCCGCTTCAAAGAGCTCTGAATGATCCCAGCTGAGGAATAAGAGTTTAAACTAGCAAAACTATTCATCAATTTATATATTTATTTTTTAGTCCAAGCTTATTGGAAATAGTGGCCTCATCTACATTGAAATGTAAACTACATTGCTCTGGGTACGTTTTGTTGCACATTTCAGATGACAAATCCACTGGAGGGCGCTGTCTAAGCTTTTGTTAATCTAAAATACATTACTAAGGGTGTGTTTTGTTGTTTGTTGCAGATACACATCCATTTTGTAAACATCTTAAGAATGACAATGTTTCTCCTAGAGATCAGTTAGCAAACTACTGAGCTAAACCCTTAACTAAACCCAACCAATAGTGTTTTCAGAAGCAGACATAAAAGAAAAGCCCACTGTGACCAAATAGTTTTGCCCTGATTTTACACTGCTTTTATACCTTTCGTTGAGCACAACATGCTAGAAAAGTTGGAGATTGATATAATAATAATGCATATGGAGATAGATATAAACATATACATTACAAATCATAGACAGTGTTGAGTGTTCATACAGTTTTAGCACAGTGTTCAGTTGTTTTGTGGTGTTTACATAGTGTTGTGTAAAGAGCTGCATGGAAATAATCCTCCATTCATCAATAATATGCCCATGCATATATAATTAGTGTTAAAAGGTGAAAAAAAAAGTGATAAAGTTGCCATCATACTGCCCCCTAGTGTTCATTTTACCCACAAACTGCAGCCAAACATGTGTTGAAGTGTGTTTTGGGGGTTTACCTAAAGCACATGTTTCCAATAAGTCCAATGCAAAACTATTTTTTACGTTTATATGCAATTATAAATGTCTGAATCCTCATCTGAGATCATTTAGACCTATTTAAAGATGCATTTAAACTGCCGATTGAAATTTTGAAAGTCTGAAGTTGAATTAAACCACTCGTTTTCCTCATTTCTTAACTAAAAAAAAGAAAAGAAATGAGCATCACGGATGACAAAGGGATGAGTAAATTAACAGGAAAGTCCACTGAGAAAGTACACTAATCCTTTAAGGTGTGAACAATGCATGTAAAGAATTATTGGAATTAATTACAGATGTAAATAAATGTGGAATGGAAAAGCATGCATGTACACAATAAGTGAACTGTATCGAATGATTTATTTGAATGCAAGTTAGGCCACTTATAAACAAAGCAGTGATTTTCTGCTAAACTGAAGTATTTGGTGAATCTGAAGACTGAAGGTGAATTATTGCTCCAGATGCCGCTCAGAGACAATAAAAAACAACATGGAGCTTGTTTGTGGGACTAATCGGATTAGTGTGTTCATTCATACGTGCTCGTTTGGCGGGTGTGAAAATTAATCTGAAATCGTGCCCACGCAAAATAATAAACACTAACCTGCACGAGTAATTAAACTGCAGAAGAGTTACAGGAGCATAATGCACATAAACATCATCTAACCAGCTCAAGTCAGATTAACACCGCAAACTTCCCAAACACACTGTCTTTTACTGCTTTACAAGAGCTTCACTCAACATACAGCTGGGTTTATTAGAAGCTAAACTATTATTCTTGCACATACATCCCAAGTAGTGTTCAAATATGGGGTCTTCAGATCATTTTTGTTTAATGTTTTTGACGTAATATAGAATGTTACTACAATTTAAAATAACTCAACACACTGTTAAATGTCTCTTAATTCTGTGATGTAAAGGTTGGAGCCTTGACTGGGCCAGTGTGCATTTCTGTGTGGAGTTTGCATGTTCTCCCTGTGTTGGCGTGGGTTTCCTACAAACTAAGGAAATACAACATACAACAAACTAAACAACTGCAGTAACTGAGCTTTAATGTTTATGTTTATTTATGTTCCAGCAAACCAGGCAAGCATGATGGAGTCATGTGGGAGTAATGTTCGCTATACGTCAGACTTTATTCAGCAAACATGTTTCAAATCTCTTATTATTCACATTAACACAAGTCCAAAACCCCTGCAAGCAAGTGTCAAAAATTGTAATATGTGAGATTTGTCATTTCCATTCGTTGTGCGATACTTGAAAACGAGCAATAACAGAGCCTGATGGAAACCCAGCTACAGACTAACCGAGAGGGGTCTGGCTGCAGACCTGGTGCAGATGCAATCTGAAAATGCTTTTTAATACGCCCACCTAACCCCACCCGTCACTGTGACGTCACTAACATTGAGTGCGTTGTGTCTGACATTGCATTGCTGAGTGAAGCAATCTCAGCTTGCATCATAGAGGCTGCATCCAGATACTATTGGACTGACCCCGCACCAGTCATCTGTCAGCAGAATACAACAGTGCATATCCTTCAGTAAGTCATTATCAGTCAGAATGAGCCCATGCACCTTCTATTAGCTGTAATTAAGCAGACGGACTGATCCATGTGCCATAGGCAAACCCTGATTGACTGTGATTGGACAGATCTGAGACTCAAAGCGGCAGTGCAAGCTGGGATTGCAGAGGAACAGAGCGGGAGTTTTGTGTGACACCGACACACGCTGAGAAACCCTGCGGCGTAAATACAGCTACTGCTACACACCTGGGACGCTCTGATGTATAAATGTGCTTTAAAGTCTCACACACACCTGCGCAGCACACACACTTTACCACGTTTACCATGCTATACTTGCCTGGAGCTGTTCTGAACACTGCACAGTACAGTAAAGCTGCACAACACTCGCTATACGCTGAACAATGGACCTACAAACTATTTATATGAGCTGAATTTAAACAGACACATTAAGATGAACATTAAAACATTTCATTTGTTAAATTCATTCTTTCATTTTCCTTCGGCTTCTTTCTTTATTTATCAGAGGTCACCACAGTGGAATGAGCCGCCAATTATTCCAGCATATGTTTTACACAGTGGATGCCCTTCTGGCTGCAACCCAGTATTGGGTAAAGCCCATACACACTCGTATGCACACACACTCTTGTACACACACTCATACACTACGGCCAATTTAGTTCATCAATTCCCCTATAGCGCATGTGTTTGGACTGTGGGGGAAACCGGAGCACCCGGAGGAAACCCACGCCAACATGGGGAGAACATGCAAACTCCACACAGAAACAACAACTGACCCTGCTGGAACTCGAACCAGCGACCTTTTAGCTGTGAGGCCACAGTGCTAACCACTGCGCCACAATAAATAAAATGAAATAAAAGAAAATAATAAATAAAATAAAAACAAAAAAAAAGTTTAAATAATTGATTGTTTATAAATAAATTAAGACATAAATAAACAAACAAACAATAAATAGCAATAACAGCAAAACAAACAAACTAAATGAACAACACAATAAATAAATAAACAGACTTTATGTCAGGATTTTTGGATAGAAACTCAGGAATTCAAATAAATTCATACTAGCAAAATAAATAAATAAATAAATAAATAAATAAAAATAAATAAATAAATATATAAAAATAATAAAAACAAATAAATAAATAAATAAATAAATAATAAATTATAAAAAATAATAATAAAAATAAAAATAAAAAAATAAATAAATCAATTGTAATAAATATATTCATTCATTCATTTTCCTTTGCCTTAGTCCCATTATTAATTAGCGGTCACCACAGTGAAATGAACTGCCAACTATTGTTACATATGTTTTACGCAGTGGATGCCCTTCTAAATGCAACCCAGTACAGGGAAACACCCATACAAACTCATTCTCTCTCACACACACTAACACACACACACACGTTTGTTTTTGTGGAAAATGGGGACATTACATAGGTTTCCATTCATTTTATACTGTTCTAACCATATATTATATTGCCCTCACCCCACCCCTAAACCCAACCATCACAGGAGACTGTGTGCAGCTTTACACTCTGATTAAACTCATCCTGTGGGATTTATAAGCATTTTTTGAAAATCAGGACGTCACCAATGTCCTCATATTTCACCTCCTTTTTGTAATACCTGTGTCATACTCATGTCATTATACAGATTTGTGTCCTGATATGTCACAAAAACATGTACACACACTCATACACTACGGCCAATTTCCCTATAGCGCATGTGTTTGAACTTTGGGGAAACCGGAGCACCCGGAGGTGCAACTGACCCAGCTGGGGTTTGAACCAGCGACCTTCTAGCTGTGAGGCCACAGTGCAAACCACTGAACCACAATAAATAAAATGAAATAAAAGAAAAGAAAAGAAAGAAAAAAATAATAATTGAATGTTTTTTAAATAAATACATACATAAATAAACAAACAAAGAAAAAATAAATAGCAAAAAAAGCAAAACAAATTAAAAATTATAAATAAATAAATGTTCTCTCAGTTTTTGTTTCCTTCACAATTTCAAGTCTACATCTCACACTTCTGACTTTTATGTCAGGATTTTAGGATATAAACTCAGGAATTCATAACAAATTCATATTAGTTAAATAAATAAATAAATAAATAAATAAATAAATAAATAAATAAATAAATCAAATAATATATTATATATATATATATATATATATATATACATA